ACTTTAATTACAAAAGTTTATTAAATTTATAAATATAGTTTAAATTATTTATTTATTTAATGAAATTTACAACTGTATAAACAATACAACTAGTAAAAATGCACACACTAGAAATCATGACATGAACAGACTTGAAGGGATACTGCCCAGTGGTAGCACTCCCTATTTAATTCTAGGTGAGTAGAACACGAGGCCATCTCTTTTCAGACGCTAGGGGATTATCAGGAATGAGGAAGAAGCAAGGCTGGAAACAAGTGGATTCGGATGGGACTGGAGTTTATCATGAAAGGATAGGTATCTGGCTCGGGCTAAATCTGCGGCATATGGGACATTAAGGTGTTAGTTTAAATTAAAATACAAAAAACTAAATCCATAAATATTTAATCAGCATGTATATTTATTTATTGACTAAAAGGCTAATATACGCATTTATAAAACATAACTCACTTCACATGAAGTTTCGGGCATGGAAAGTCAATAATAAAAAAAATATATAGCACGAAATCTGATTGGTTGGCTAAGTTGCTCGACAGGAGCATTGGGCAATAGAAGTTGGCATTTGGTCCAGGGTGAAGGGGACAGGACATGTGCATATGTAACAATCTGGTCCTTCTCGAAATTATCGTAGATGTATTCAATCCATTGAAGGCCAAATAGTAAAAATAATTGGCACCACTCTGAAAGTTCTCCATTGCCTCATTCAAATCAAAACAATGTAGACAGTAATGTTAATAAATCAAGTTAAACTACTGTAATCTACTATTTTACTTGATGGTACAATATAGTAATCAATGTATGATTACAAGCGATTTTGCATTTGATTTATTAGTGGAATAGACCATAGGTATGCAACCATTTTATCATTAGAGGCCGCATTAAGGTTAGGAAGTGATGAGGGAGACCGCATTGAAGGTAGGAAATGATAATGGTTGGCTGCAATATTTTTTTTGTATTATACTTGTGCTTCTCTTTTGTTTTTATATAAATACATACCCATATACATATTAGTAATGATCGCTCAAACAGACGGTGGGCACATTCAGCCTCAGAGGCTGCAGATAGCTCACGGAGACCACAAGCGGCATCAAAGCCGCACGTTTCTCAGCTATAGAATAGACTATACAGCAGAAAAACTAAGTTTAAAATAAACAGTGATATGTAGAAACTAAATCCATCAATTCAACCAAAAGGGTCCATGATATGGGTATGTAGAAACCAACCAAGCTTTAATTTACATGAAGCAAGACAAACCGACTACCAATTAAGCCGCATATATGATGATGATGGGCCAGGATGATAATACAGTAAATAAAATTTGCACTTTCTGTTAAAGTATCATAGTAAGAAATTATGAATATAAACCTAAATTAACGATAAATCGATGGTTAACTTCAAAGATGTTTTAAGTAACAATCTATTAAAAGGGTTAAAGAAGGCAAATCTACAACTGCATAAATGTTTCAAATGCACATCAAATACACATGCAAGTAAATGAAATAAACAGAATTAATAAATGAAGAATTACAAAATGGGGATAAATTTTTTAACTATTTTTTTGCTTCAATTACAATATTCACTTTCTGGATAAAAAGTTAAATCAATTCCAACCCGCTCATATAATTTTAAAACTTATGTATTTTGAGCATAATAGCTTTATATAACGCAAAATGTTGTGTTATAGCTAAGATCAGTTTTTGAAATATTTCCAGAAATTGGGAAGTTCAGGAAGATGTACGATTATTTTTGGTTAAACGGTTAAAGTTGTAATCGAGATATACAATTCACTGCTAGCTTTTAAGCTAATAAATAATTTCAAGAAGCGAATAAAAATTATAACATATAACTATTGTATGTTGTGGTAGATATGAAAATATTATGATAAATAGATTTCTAACAATTAAATATAAGAGGATAACAGATGGTATGACACACGTGACAAATAAATTAATAACAAGTTAATGGAAAACATGTGATACATGAGATACATAAAAATGGGTAGTTATTAATTAACATTGACAAAGTAACTGCATTAAAGTAATAAAATAATGAAATAATGAAGGAATGAAAAATAATATTAAAGAACGTAGATAAATCCGAGAAATAAATAGCAAATACAATTAAAAAATGTGAACTTGCTTGGTTACCTACATATATATTGAGTTATATATTTAATTTTCTTTTTTTTTTCATTATATTCCAATTTATTTGAACTCAGAACGATAAATTAAAGAGGATCATCATGTTCAATTACAACTTATGTCATGAATTCAAGGATGAATATATATAGGTCGCAAATAACCTCGTCTAAGAGGTACTTATTGCGAATTCGTGTTGAAATTTGAACCATCATATCAAGGCAAAGAATTTATAAATAACGAATCTTGAACTGTTTAAATACTTATTTTATAAGGCGATTCATATCATTTTCAAAAAACCTCATGATTTATAACTATATTTTCACAATCAACCATTCATTCATGTGTAAAACAGTTGAGACCAAAAGCAATTTCGTTCATAATCACTAAACGTTAAATGGTGATATTTTACTAACGCGCGTCAAATATGTATAAATATAAACAAGAATAAAGGGTTTCGGGGTGTTTACTGTCACTATTATTCTTCACTCTTATACTTTTATATTTATCATTTTTCTATTACTTTTACTGTTATTTTATTTTATTTTTAATCTAGATGGTGACCAACTGTTTGGGTGTTAAACTCATTTAAAAAATTTTGACTGAAATTTCTGTCAATTTTTTTGATCCTTATAATTTCAACTTATAAGTATGCCTGCGTCTAACATGTTTATTTTATTTATTTATTTTTTTAAAGAACATTTTAATTGTATTTTATTTATTTATTTTTATTTTATTATTACTATTATTTCTTCCTTCATTATGACATTTTATTTTGTTCTTATTTCGCTATATATTATTTTGTAATTACTTTATTTATTTTTTGATTTTGTAAATATGGTGTGAATGTGCTCTCTGAACTCTATTATTAGTGTCCTTTATTGAGACAGATTGTAATATTTATCAATAAACAAGTAATTGAAAAAAAAAAAATTCAACAGTCAACTATTTACTCATTCCCTAAAATTACCCATCCCTCTCTCTATATATGAATGATTAATTTATAAAAAAAAAACAATTTTACACATACACACACACACACACACACAAACATATATATATATATTATTAAGAAATAAAGTTGATTTTTTCATATTATTCTTTAATGTAAAATCATTAAATATAAACTCTCACAACCCAGTACTAAGACCAATTAAGATGACAGTATATATTTTAATCTTATGTTAAAAATTTCATTTAAAACAAACTATGAGACTGAAAATTTAGCTGAAAATTAATAAAATTTAGAAAGGTTAAAAATCATGAATCCCCAGAGGTTGAAGTAGGAAGCAAGAAGCAATTATGCAAGCGTCGGAGATAACGTCATATAACATTGGCGATTACATAAATACCAGCTTCCAATCTTCTTGGCGACTTAGTGACTACTATCACTCTATTAGTTCATTTGTTTAATTATTTAAATATTTGCATTAATTTTAAATTCTGGCTATAATATTTTTTTGATTCTGTGGCCTAGGGTGTATTGTAAATTGAGGGTTTATTACAAAATAAGTTGATGTCAAGTTGAGTAAAATAATTATGAGATTTGATATTCTTATTATATATTGCACAGCTTTATTTTCTTTGTTTTTCAATTACCTGGGATGTATTATAATACAAATAATTGTATAAGTATACGTTTTATTTATTAAAAAATATTATATATATAAAAAAAATATTTTTCAATTATGCAATACATTTCTTAGATCTCAATTATTGGCATTGGATCCGTATGGCATGATCGTGATTGACAATGATTTGATCAAATAATTGTTCCTAATTCTAATATTTACGTTTTAATGAAAATAAATAAAGTAATTAGAAGATTTATTTATTTATTTTTTTAGTAATATTGATTTGCAATCTGTGACCTTACCTTAAATTGGTATTGCCGTACAAATATTAATTATTGAAACTGTATTTGGATGAAGTATTGAAACATTTGATAATTCGAGAAAGAAAATCCCAACTCCATAACAACAACAATTATTTTCTAAATAAGTAGGATTCCCATAAATTAAATCGTTCAATAAATCGATTGTGATTTGGATCTGTTCATTATTTACTCCAAATACTGAAAAGTAACAAATGTATATGAATTCGTCTGTATGATTGTATCAACATATAAAACATTAGTGCTAAACAAGATTAGACATTTTCAAAGTGACCATCTGATATTGTTTATAATACTATTTTTATGTTAAGTTTTCGCTAATTCATTATTAATGATGAAAATTTAAGTATATAAATAGTTTATGTTATTTTAATTTTCAATCATTTATATCTATAATATATATTAAGTTTATTATTGAAGGAAGTTAGTCGACTGTTCTACATATCATGGGTGATAAATATTCAGGAAGCAGTCATTATACAATTTTTGTTATTGCCGACGTTTCAATCCGAACATGTAGGTCATCATCAGGGCGTGGTTCGAACACTGAAGGTATTCAAGTACTATCATCAATGTATCGGGTATTAAAGTACTACCAATATGGTAAGTAATGGTTAAATTGCTTCTTAATAAGCGAAAAATATCATCTGATTGCCAAAAAATGTCTCAAAAAATAAATGGATAGGATAGCATTTTGATCATTTACTCTACGATTCATTTTTATAACCCAGGATAGAGGAAATTTAGTAGTGTTCATAAAAATGTAAATCAAAATATAATTTTTATATATAGTGTGTAATAATCGCTTGATTGAATTATCTTCTTCGAAAAATTGAATTTTATGTCAATTTAGACCTACTAATGGGGAAGGAATAGGAAGGAAACGTGGTAACGTATATTTCTCTCGAAAAAAAAAAGCTAGTCCGCTAAAGGAAAACAATGATCGGAGGCCTTTACCGCAGTTAGTGGTAATGGTCTCGATTAAGGCCCCTCAGCTCGGCCCATCTCCGCAAATGGACAAGGGATACAGAAGAAGATCCCTGATAAGGTAGATAGCTTGCGAGGGGTAGAACTTGGTCGGGGCAAGCTCTCACAATACTTTCCGACCGAGAGAAAAACGACAATGCTTCTTCAAAACCGTTAATACACCTAACAATTCTCTATTGAGATAATTAAATACTAATAAATAGATTAAATCCTTTAGTTTCTCTAAAATAGATGGTGCTCACAGAAGTAAGAGATGCCCAGCGAAGTAAATAGATTAAGTATCTACCTTAGATCACTCACAGAAACAATGTAGGGACAAATAAAAAATATTAATTAGTAATAAAACAGAAACCAACGTGAGTGTTTTAGACCACACGATAGAAGTGAAAATATCAACAAGACGAGATTAATAATATGAAATACTAGTTGTCCCCTGCGAAGAATTCGCAGACAATTTGGTTTAGTGAAGAAATAGCAAAACAATATGGATATAAGTAGTTCCTATTTATTATGTAAGGAAGGAATTAATATTTTTTCCTAAGTCGATTACAATATTCCATTACACATAACAGACCAAAATATTTATACGAATTGCTTTGCTAGGACCTATTTTTAAACGCTGACTGGAGAAAGATAATAAAAGTAATAAAGACAAAATAATGCCCCGATCACAGGATATTCTAAATTATTAAAAAAAAATAAAATGTAAGAATAACCAAATGTCTTTAAGAAATAATAAAGGTAATATAAAAGCCAGGAAAAGAAATGCAGTAGATTATTCTACTCCTAAATGCAATATCTTTAAACAGGAAGACATTATTAAGTTTACCAAAACTAATGGGCTGCATCTTTGTTAATAATTGTCCGATTTTTTTACTTTCACTTACGTATATATGTAATATATAGTAAGAGTAAGTATTGCGATCGAGAAAATTTTTATGTTTTGTAGGTAATCTAGTAATCTTTCAAATTATCATGGGTGCAATCAAGAAAAAAATGCATACTTTTTGAGTTATTGGCAAATAAATTTTCTTTTCCTCCATAACTTTTTTCCCGGAAATTTCGGGAGGATGCGACTATTTTTCGCATGTGAAAACATACCTTTTAGAAATGATATATAGGATAAATTATAAATAATAGATAACTTTTTGGTCACTACGAAAATTTTTATTGTCATAGTTATTGTTATTCGTAGTTAAAAATCCAAAAGTTAGATTGGAATCCAACAAAGTATATTATTATCTAAATGTTTCCTATTATAATTTAATATTATAATCGGTAGGCTTTTTCTCCTTTCGGTTATCATGGAGCAGCATGCTCTCAGTAACATTGAAACCACCATTTTGGAGACGCAAAACGAAGCTATAAAGTATGCTTTGCTAAATTATGGTTTGGAAGCAAATAAATTAAGTAAACAAATAGGTTGTCTATTTGTTGAGCCTCGTTAGCACATAAATGTGAATAAAAGATTACCAGTAGTAAACACTTTTTTGAACTTAATTCAGGTTATCTTAATTTAAAAAGAAGTCCAGGCACACCTAGCGGCATGTTGACTACAATCTTGACTGTTTAAGAGAAACTTTTAGTTAAGTTAAACTCTAAAAGGGTTTATTAAGTTTATGATGATCGCCCCTAGCATTGTACAGACTTCGGAGGGAGAAGCGAGCGATCGACGCCCCCAATAAAAATGTTAAGGAACGAGAATATCGTCTCACCCTAAACAATTTTAAGTTATAATTATAAAATTATGATTATAAAAAATCTATTATCAATAATAAATAAGCTACATGAATAAATAAAATGTGTAAACTAAAATCGAATATGAAAAGTCGACAAGCTGGCTGGGCTAGGGCCTAGTAATATGTATGCAACTATTTTATTGATAACTAAATGTTACTTTTATTTAAATTGTCATTTATATTAAAAAAATAATAATACATATCAACATATCCTAGGATTTAACAATTCAATTACCCTTCAATTTTCACGTAATATTCTTATTACGTCACATTTTCCGTGACAGACTAATCGAATTGTGAAAAATATTGTATTTTTATTTGAGGTTGTACACACTAAGAAATCAAAGATACTTGTCACTTTTTTACATTATTCATTTTTATCTGAAAATGTTCTAGAAATGTACTAATGTTGTGAAGGCTGTCTCCCCTCCCCCTAGCGTTTGATCTAAACAAATATGTTATATATTGAATGATATTATTTTTTTTTTAATATTTGCAAGTATATTTAATTTAAAAAAAATCCTTACAACTATACAAACATATAAACAAATTATTTATAAATATTCAATATAATATTTGTTCGTTTCACAATAATTATGTCGAATTTTTAAACATAATAAAAAATCCCGCCATTTTATTATTTATTTTTTTGGTTCATCGCCCTCCAAATTAAAATCGAAAGTCTGCGCTATGGCCTCTATTGGTTGAAAACTAACTATATTTATATATATATATATTGAAAACAATATATATATATATATATATTATAATATATATATATATATATATATATTTTTTTTTTTTTATTTATTTTATATAGGTTATAGATTATACTCTTTTAGATAAAAGAGAAGTAGAAGTAGTTAATTTCAAGTTCTATGAACAAAGCTTTGGCCGAGAAACTTGACCGTGTAAAACGGCCTTCAGGAATCAACAAGACGATGGTATATCAAAACTTCAAGAGAGGTTTGCATTGGAACACAGGGCTGTGGAAGGTCAGAGTTAAAATAGTCCAGAGTGAAATAGGTTTTCTTCAAATGTCTGCCTCGAGAGGAAAAGAAGACGCTAGGAGAAGACTGAATGAAAAGAGACTTGGAGGAGGGTGCGACGGCCGGCTGTTGAACCCGCCGCTACGGTCACCGCCGCCCAAACCCAATCCTCTGCCGTGGATCCTCTCTTATTGTCAGCTTTCGTAAGAGATCATCTAAAATCCTCGAATGTTAGTATCGATAAGCCGACTTGGAAGATAAAGAATTCCAATAGATCAGAAGATTGATAATCTCCAATTCCGCAATGTTAATCAATTCTTCCAACAAACAGTTGAGATAAAACACAACAATAAATAAAAAACGCCTAATTTGATCCAATCTTGAGAATACCAACTCCCGCTTCGGACACTCATTCAGAAGCGGAGAGTGATGTCGGCAACTGAAGAAGCTACTGCACAATGGAACAATAAAGTTTTTAACATCCTGCATTTCTTAATCATTAAATAACTATTGGATCCATGCAATCAATCTTTTGATGACTTGAGCATATTTATTTTTTTGTCTACCCTTCCTTGTCTTTAAGGCAACACGGTTTTTTTCCAGAGACTAGGGAGAGGTAGGGAGAATTATACAGAGTTAAAAGTCCCACCGGACACCGAGATTTGAACTCGTAATTATTTTCCCATCTCAAAGTTCGGTTATAAGATTACCGAGCAACGCACTTTGCTATGCACGCGCGTTATCTCGCTCGGCCATACCGCCCCTTAACTCGAGTATACTGAATTTATAACTGGACGATGAAAACAAATTAGTTTATTCAAAAAGAATTCTGTTGACTGCAGGATGAATTGTTAAATCCTTTCCTAGTTAGTAATGTAATAATATTTGGGAGCCTTATTATCTCAACAACTTTAAATTTTCATCGATGGATTAATAGTTCGTGGTACATTTGCTTTCCACTTGGATCGTAAAATAATTTCATCACAAAACCGATAAAAAAGTTGGCCAATAAATATATTGGGCCGTTTGGCATGTATAACTTCGTTATTTTGACAACTTAGGAGTGTCGTAGGTCACGCCAAACGGTTCAATGTTTCTGAAGGCCTCTTTTTCTTGGTTTTGTGTTCAAATTATCTAACGATCCAAGTGGAAAGCAAATAGGCAATTACAAGTTTTTAGTACTTAATTAAATAGACAAAGTTTGACAACCTCCATAATGAAAACGCCCCAATTCCGAGAATTTTCGTAAATAAAATATTTGTAGGTTATAATTAGATGAAGCTATTTAAGAAGTTTCAGGCGGATGTTAATAATGTGATTAAAAGGGTTATGGACCACGGACTATTATGAGTCCATTTAAAAAAAAAATGATTTAATAATAATTCTATCGAGCGTCTATTAACTGAAACGAACTGGTATGCATGACCCTAAAAATAAAAATAAACCATTTTCAAAAATTCAAAAACCGTAAAGGTCGATTTCAAAGCAGAAGGAGAAACGAGAAAAAATTAAAGCTACAATAGTTCAATAAGAAACATTAGAAAAAATAAAATAAAAATAAACATTACTTTCACCCTTTCGAGTTATCACATTCCACAGAGAGCAATTTTACTAAATGACAAAAAAAGAGTGCAATGTGAATATGAAATTAAATCAAATAATAAAACCTGTCCATAGGTATTAATAAAAGGACAGGAGGAGCACAGAAGAAAATAAATAAACCAGAACCCATTATAGGTCAACAAAAAGCAGTTTTAAAACTAAGTAAAATAAAATGAATTCGCATCTGAAAAAAACGAAAACATAAATAACATTCCACGCAACTTATAAAAATTTCTCGTTTCAAGTTTTGAGATCATTTTAAATTGTAAGTGATTTCTTGTATACGATAAAACAATGTTATAATAAATTCATTTGTACAGAAGCAATGCTGTGGCAATCCAGATTTTCTAGACAAAAAATAAAATAAAATAAAAAATATCACATACATTTATTAGATAAAATAGGGATATAGATTCTTAGAACTGATTAGAGAGAGAGAGAGAGTAAGAGAGAAAGGCATAGAACTCAACATGAATTAAATATAATATACAATATTTTGAGCTATTAGAATTAAGGCATTAAATAAACAAATGAATATATATTTTAAAACAATTACAAAGAAAAGAATTATCAACAAGAGAAAACCCTATGGTGGTGTCAGTTGATAATACCAAGATAAAATATTGTGACGTTTGGTTTTCCTCAATTGATTTAATCTATGGTAGAACTGAGACCTCCGCCAAGGTTAAACAACCGACGCCGGGCGAATTTCCAAGTTTTTATTTCCTACTCATCCAAAAATAGTTTTCCAAATTTTCCATTAACAAATACATTTTATTCATTTATTTTTTAAGTAGTAGTGAATTAATCCAGAAAATTGTATTACTGCTTAAAAAAATAAAAATATACTATACAAGAAATAAATAAAAATGAAAAGTAATTATTGGAAAACCCCAAAGCCTTTTGACAGTTAATCAAATAGGAAACGATAGTTAGAAGGCCAACATTCAAACAATAAGATATCAGTACAGCGAACCATAAACTAACTTATTTGCAACAAAACTATACATATTTGAGTCCATTTAATCATGTGTTCGTAGTTCTGATGTTGCTTGGCATGTAGACATAAGTAGAAGACGACTTTGAGTCGCCAAGGGAATCAATTAAGATTTTTAAAAAACTAAGACTTTATCATTTATGTGCATCCTTTGATTTTCGATTTCCGCGGAAAATTGGAAACATCGGGGAATTGAGAGTTCATTTCACTGCCTCAAACCTTTAGATAAAAATATGTAAAAATTCAATTACTTTGTTAATATATTTCCAAATATACCCATACACAAAAGAAGAAAAACAAATAATATATAACAATACATATAAATTTATTTTTATGTGTAGTATTATCAAATAGTTCGTTGTTTAAACATTTAAACATGGCTACATTTGAAAATCAGCTAGCTCGATCTAGCTTTAAGTATATTAATGTTAAGAATATAATGCCAGTAAAGCATACACAAATACCTTGAAATAAACATAATTATATAACCACAAGAAGTGGTGAGGAAGCTATACTGACTCAACTAGGCAGGAGTTTTTATACCAATACTTTATTATATAATATTCAAATATAACACACGAATATTCTTTCAGAATTCAACTTCTTTTAGAATTTGAAACCTTTCAAACTTCAAAAATTCTAAAGGAATTCAGGTTTAAATACTTATAATAAATGATAAAACTGCCACGTATATTTTAGTAATACTTCGACCCATAAATGCTTAACAAAAGTCCTTTTTATACCTTAGCATATTATAAATTGTCGGTGTAGTATATGATTGGTTAAACACCTTTTATCTAACTAATGGGTCATTAAAAATAGTTAGTACCTCAATAAAATATATTATAACATAAAAAAAATACAACAGATAATATAATATGGTTTTATAATAATTTATAGCATCAGTGACTGAATTATTTATTATCTTTATCATTATTACTTCAGAACGCTAAATATAACAGACTTATTCAGAATAATTACTTCGCACAAAAAATAATAAATATGGGATAAGCGAATTTACTTAGTAACGATAATTAATTTAAAACAACTAAGATAAATTTAGGATTATTGTTAGAACATATGAAAATCTTTTAATTAATCTACCAATGATGATTATTGTTTTTCGAAAAGCGTGATGAGGATCGCATTATTTATTTAAGAAAATAGGGATCTATATATACTTGTTAGATATAGTGATGGATTTTAAAGAATATCAAAAGAAAAAATAATATTAAGGGATTTAATTAATCAATTTAATACTTAACAAAACAAGATTGATTAAATTTTTTTAGTATATATTTAAAATAATTATTTATCACCTAATTAGCAAATACAATGAGTATGAAACTACTGACTAGTATGCAACTAGTTAATTCAAGTGGCACGGACGTATAAATAGAACTCCGTTTATCATCAATAGTCTACAACTAGATAAAAACTATATACATGTATATACACAGATATAATTCCTTAAAATGACCAGAGATAGCTTAAAGCCAAGCGAGGTCGTAATTGGGTTGTTTTCATGTAATTAATAATATGTGAATTCTATTTAATAAAAATAGTAGCAATTAAAGAAAACATTGCAAGCAAACCCTAAATTTGAAATGATAAAAAGTAGAAACAGTAAACCGAAAATGGATCACTAGCGTAATATTACGAGATGTTACAGGCTTTTATAAGTTAACTTACATTTTATGAACATAATTAATTTATTATACATTTTATTTCCTTAAAATATTTACCCTAAAGGTATATTTGAGGTTTCATATTAGAAATATCTAAATTAAAAAGTATTGACTAAAGAAAGATTTTCCATATCTTTCCGAATTTCTTAAAAAGATTCATTTTTCAAAGGTTTATTATTAAACGTTAATATTATTTAATTCTTGTAAATTTTCAAAATAAAATAAAATATTTTCTGCACTTATTTTAAGGTATTGTTGAAAAAACAAAAATATTTTATTTTTTTTAAAACGCCAACTAAATAACTTCATACGTCGATAGATGTCTCTAATCGTTACCATAACAATTAAATTACCCATGACCGTATGATCACAACACAAATTTGTTAGTTTTACATTTACTAAATCTTGCTTTGCTTGGTTGATTTGGAGTTTTAGTGGATTAAATATTTATTTAAAATATAGATAAAACAGGAGCCTTAATTTTCGCGCACAAAAGAAAACGTAAAAAATGCAGCAAGATGTGCAATAAAAAAAAATACATGCATTCTCCAAATATGCAATAAGACAACTAAAATATTCAAATATATGTGCTAAAAAAAAACCCTGAATCAAAAAATAAATTAGAGGGAAGGATTTAAAATTAAATAAAAATTATTTTATATTGTTTCATCATATTGTTTTATTTTTTCATAAACCAAAACATGAATTTGTAAAATTGTTTCTGAAAAACCTATCGTTTTAATTATTTTAATAATGAGAAAATGATTTTTCAACACCAACAGACATAATGGGTACTTATTTATATGCACATAAAAATGTCTGCTTTTTTCCACTAGAACTTGTTTTGATCGATAGTCGCAAAAAAAAAAAAAAAAAAAAACTTTGCCATGAGTTTAAAAAAACTGTTACATCTTTTGTAT